TGCTGAAGTGTACTCTTATTAATTTTATCAAAGCTGTTTACGTTACAATTCAACCTACATTATCAAGGTCTAAAATATCTTCATGTACTGAAACGTTTGCCGCTTCCGAAACATTTTTTAAAGGATCCTGTTATTTTTTGCAGTTAACCTTGCTAACCGATATTATTCTAAAGCCTAGTTCACGCTACGCCGGAGAAATTTGAAAACGTAACAAGCACCGGTCATTTTGGATTTGTGTTTGAGGAAAACTCGGGCAGAGAAATCATATGCATAATTACCGTCACTTCATTGTTTTCGAAAAGCTCCGTTTTCAAAATGTTTTCCGTCCACATGAAAATCTAAAGCCGGCGTTTCAAATTTCGCCGATTTATAGAGCCTTTTTGAAAAGCTCTGTTTTCGAGTGTGGACGGTAGCGTTAACCGTAGAAATAAAGCTACGTTTTCAAATTTCTCCGGTGTAGGGAGTGGACGGGACCTAATTATCCATGTTATCGTAATGCATGACTGACAACTGTCATAACTCTGTCAAATTCAAATTTAACATCATAAATTGTAATTAACGATAACAGACATTTCTGTCGAAACATGCCCTCTAAACCTTTCAAAACTTTGCCCTTTTCTCAATGTAGAATGCAAATATGATGAACAAAGATATCGCAGCCAATTTGAATCAGAAATGTTTGATTCTTGGCAGTATGATTCTGCTGGAGGTGTTCCACAATATGAACCTAACATTTTTGTTACCATGGCACCATACTGGGTTGCAGACCTCCCCAATATTTAAGGATTTTCTGGCCACATTTTGCGTCCTTTATTGATATTTAACAATGGTGCCTCATCTTCATGATCCAGCAAGCATGTATGTTAGGTCGAGTTCATGACCTTGTGTAATGTTTCTCGAGCTGAAAATCACTACAATATTGAAATCAGGTTGGAGGGAACTGTAAGAGTGGGTTGCCACTGGGACGTAAATTTTTTTAGGTGTTGCATTTAGCCTGGTTTCTGCTGCAAATTGATCGAAATAGCTCTATTTATATACTTGATGTAATACTTGGTTGAGTGTATGACGTCAATAGTCCTTTCATTTGCATATTTTACACATTTTTCAAACTTAAATATCTTCGGAAGCAATGCAGACAAAAAGATAAACGGCATTTTAATCTCTCGTGGAGTTCTGTGATTAACTAAAAAATTCAAGGGGTTAAAAATTTGATCATAGTACCGCTTAAAATTAAGCAGTATTTCTCAGAGAGAATTTACCATGGTTTATTTAAATTGGGAATTTTGTGACATTATACGGACAGCCTTGCCACTGACAGCTTTCAATAAGGTTAATTTGCGCCCTAGTGTTGCGTAAAAAATTAATTATTATTTAATTTATATTTTAATCTGTTGTTTATATGATAACCTTATAAACACAAAGGTAGCACCTCTGCATTTGGCCAGGATTACGTACATGGTCCCTGTTTTTCCTAATGAGATGATTTGGGGGTTTACATCTCCAGCGTTGGTGCATGTAGGATATTGATGTATTGTTTATCCATTTCGCTGTAAGTTATCTTTAGTTATTGATGTGTCAATTAAAACATATCTTGGGCCCGGCTGGCAAATGCATCTATGCCTCATAACCTCTTAGCCCATTTGTGTAGTGTAGGCAAAATACATGCACATAATATAACTTACTTATAGCTTACTCGTTAATTTTTGGTACCATTTAATAATAGCAAAATTAATAATTAATGGCACCCAGTAACAGTTCCTGTAGTCCACAATCTCAATGGAAAAAAAGAACAAATTGAAACTGAATTATAAAATTATCATTGGAAGCGTACGCAGGTATTTATGTTCAGACGCAAAATATTATCTTAACCGTTTTTGCCAGATTGAGTTTGCTCATACATGTACTTTGACATGGTGCAACCTCTTTCAGCAGGAGACTATATAAAAGTGAAGATTGTTAACTGCATCTTCGGGAATCAAGTTAGAAAACAGATCTTTCAAACTTTTCACGTGTATTATTTTGGTATTTTTGCGAGATCTAGGAACTGAGTATATTGTAACGACAGCATTTCAATCATACCCCACAACAAAAGATGAGCAAACTTCATTTGTGTGGGAGTCCCTATGTTAACTTAGAAAGGACATAATGATAAATAACAATGTCTTGTCTTTCTGAAGAAGGTAGGGAAAAAAAAATAAGAAACTACAAAATCGTCCGAAATTTACCTCACATATATGTTGGATTATTTTGATTAAGAACATCCCAAAAAATAGCTGAGGCGCTCCGCTTTTAGGCTTGGCTAAATCTATATATTAACGTGAATAGGTATGTAAGTGGTAGCTTTATCACTTGAACTGCAAGTAAATGTATGTTGAGTCAGCATTCGCAATTAGAGTGGCGTAGGTAACAATATTGAGTACCATTGCTTTGATGTTTGTTTGTAAACAATAAACAATAATGAAAACCAAAACAGATTTTTATCTACCCTTACATGCCGACGTGCATTATTGACCATATCGCAGTTGCGCAGGGAACTGGGGTGAGTTTCGAATTTTAACCAAACGATAAACGGACGCTACCACATGAAAGATCACGTTTGACCAGATTTGAGGCTTTTAGGGTGAATAGAGACCAACTATTGGGCCTTAAAACACGGTTCAAAATCGCCGACAAACGTCGCTAATTTTGAAACAGCGTCTCCCAATACCATATAAACTCTTAACTGTTTTTAATTTCTGTGATACTCTTAAAGATGAGCAAACATAGTGATTTTCGGTGTTCATATACTAGCGCAAAGGGCTCGATTGTTCAACAGTACTTAGACACATTACAACACCTTCTTGAAAGCGTTGCGATAGAACAAAGATGGTTTTAATTGTACAGGAACACAAAAACATCGGGGAACAACAATTGCTGAATATATACATGAGTACGAGGTATTGGAATCCTCGTGATTTTGTTCTAGTATGGATTTTCTATAATAACCTTGTACCTTGGGAGTTTAATATTGTACACGATAAGATAAAGTGATAACGCGTTCTCTGGGAACATGATACCATGATGACTACTTTTTAGAGCCCAACCCTTTTTAACCTTGCGATGGCGTGAGAGGCTGGGAGGGGGCGTCAGCCCTCAATCTCTTGTTGGGGTTTTTCTTTACAGTGCTTTTCCCGCCCCGCCCAATTGCCCCGCCTCCATCTCCGTCTCGAGTGGGCTGGGACTGAGCATATCGCGTGACGGTGGAGACTCCGTCGACAAATTTGGTTTTGAAGAGCACGTTGGCATTGTTAAACATGCCGTCTTTTAGAGACACTACAATGAACTGGGAGTGTTTGAAATGGGCTCTGAGCATTTGGCCGATGTTTTGGGTGTGAGACAGATCCAGAGCGGCGTCTACTTCATCGAGGATATACAGTGGAGCTGGTTTAAACAGCAGCATAGAAAGGATGAGGGACAAAGCGACCAGAGACCTGACAAGAGGAAAAGAGTGAAAAAATGAATAATATAACCACACAGCGTGAAACTATAGCTTAATAGGTCACACACTACGGTTTTACCCACAGAAAAACATAATAACAGTACAACATGGAAGTACTGCTTAATAGCTTTCATTTGAATGGTCACAGACTAGTTTTCCATCCAGACTTAGAAGTTTGATCCACCTTGTACAGCATAATAAGCAGTACCACATAAAAGTACTGCTCGATATCTTTCATTTGAATGGTCACACACTAGGGTTTTATCCACAGACTTGAAAGGTAGAAAGACCTCGCACAGTATAACAAATAGTACCACATGAAATAAGTGCCCAATAGCTTTCATTTGAATGGTCACACACTAGGGTGAATGGTCACACACTAGGGTTTCATCTAAGGACCTAGAAATTACGACCACTGACGAACCTTTGACCACCACTAAGTTCGCTTAGACTCTCTTTCCATACATTGCCGAAAGCAACTTTCACTTCCAGGCCGTCGAGTTCCGTTTGTCCTTCAGGAGGCGCCAGCTTGGCTGTGGTCCCAGGGAGGAGAGTAGAAAAGATCGAACCAAAGTCCTACAGCAATGAAAACAGAAAAGAGACAAAGAAAAAGGATAACACTTAAAACTGAACACATGGACCTAAGCTCTTTCCAAGAACTAAATTGAACAAAGGCAAAAATGGTCTACCGAACAAAAACGATGATAGAGCACGGTTTTATTCGAACTGCATTGAACTTCACTGCTATCTTTTATTAACATTTTTGGATAAGATGAATAAAATTAGATGCGCTTAGCTAAAGGGTGGGTTTAGACAGCCCAGACAAAGAGTCTAGAGCTGCGGCAGCACACAAGTTAGTTTACAGGTATTGCACATATTTGTAACCATCCGTTAGAGCGGTTTTCAACTGAGTGTCATAAAAACAAAACCAAAGCAATCACTCTGGCCAGTCACAAAGAACACATACAATACAGGGAACGAATCAAAACTCGAAGTAATCACATGTAGCTGGCGTAAAGGGCGGGAAAATGTATGTGCGTGAGTAACGACTGTTTCTGGTTTTACTTCTGATTGGACGAAAAAATGGCGCGAGTTTTTAAGCCAATCGTGTGGCGTAGTTGATGCAAAACCAATTACTTTTCCAAATTCAAATGAAAGCCGCTCTATTTGGAGGTACCTTCCAAATTAAAAGTTTTCCTATAGTTTTAACTCCTTTTTCTTGTACCAGAATCACCTCAGTAAAATAGCGTGGTGTGACTATTCCAATTGTTGCAATGAAGAGTAAAGAACATGCATTGTACTGAATTTAGT